ATCTCTATGTGAAGCAGCTCGCACAATGTTATGCTTCGCCTCCTTGCCGCTGTATTTTTGGACCTGCGCAATTTCTGCTGCTTGTTATAATCAAAACCGATCGTATTTAAACAAGAGATTCTCCATCACTCCCTACGAGATCTTGAACAATCGTAAACCGAATGTGAAATTCTTTGATGTGCTCGGTTCAAGATGCTTCATGTTCAACTCTAGAGAGAATTGAAACAAGTTTGATGCTAAGGCTGATGAAGGAGTATTCTTAGGTTACTCCCTGAATTCCAAGGTGTATAGAGTTCTCAATAAGCACTCAAAGAAGATTGAAGAAACATACTATGTCACCTTTGACGATAGTTATGTTAAGAAGATGAAATCAACAGAAGATGCAACGCAAGAAATCTTTCCAAAGAAAAGTCAATTTATGCCCTCTATTTCAAATATTTTCGAGCAATACTTGCTTTTGTTTCATGAGCCTCAAAAGGCAATTGACTCTGAATCAACGACAAAAGACAGCAAAGTTGATAGTCTAAAATAAATTATCGACGACGCTACTCAACAGATGACTGATGATCAAACCAAAGAAACCGAAAGGCCAAAAGCAATTGAACCTTCAAGTGACCATCCTAATGTTCATGGGGAGGGTCCATCTCTTTATCATGATCAAGGTTCATCGTTCCAGGGGGAGAGCTCATCATCTCATTCTTCATGCTCTACTAAGAGTCCAATCAAAGATGGGAATACCAATCCAGGTACTGAACATGCGTCATTCTTCGAGGGGGAGAACACCAAAGTCAATGATGATGACATTCTATCTGAATTAGAAGAAGAAAAAAATGCAGAGTTGGATCCCACTTATGATCCAAATTACCCACCTTTTATCAAATGGACCAAATATCACGTTTAAAGTCAAATTATTGGAGAATCTTTAGAAAAGGTGTTAAATCGATCTCAAATCAAAGCGAAACAAGCTGCACTCTTTTATCAAATAGAGTTTTGCATGTTCAACTCCTTTGTCTCCAAAGTCGAACCGGAGACCGTTAACTCTGCACTTGTTCATTCAGGCTGGGTTCAAGCCATGCAAGATGAGTTAAATGAGTTTGAAAGAAACAAAGTATGGCGTCTTATTCCAACTCCAAAGGATACTTCGGTTGTCAGTCTCAAATGGGTATTCAGAAACAAGATGGACGAGGAGGGAAATGAGATATGTAACAAAGAACGACTGGTGGTCAAAGGCTACTGTCAGGATGAAGGAATCGATTATGAAAAGACCTTCACTCCAGTTGCAAGATTAGAGTCTATTCGTATATTTCTTGCCTAGCCAGCTCACAAGAACTTTGAAGTCTATCAGATGGACATCAACTGTGCCTTTCTCAATGGGGAACTTGAAGAGACTGTATATGTTGAGCAACCGCCAAGCTTCGTGAAAGAAAAGTATCTAGATCATTGTTATATCCTTGACAAAGCGGTATATGGCTTAAAATAAGCTCCCAGAGCATGGTATGAGACTCTGACTCGATTCTTAAAAATGTCTAAATTCAAACAAGGTTCGGTTGATCCAACCTTATTTCGTAAGAGAGAAGGTAACCACCTTATGATAGTCCAAATATATGTTGATGATATCATCTTTGGCTCCACGAATCCTAGCTTAACAGCTGAATTCAGGAAGTTGATGGAAACTAAATTTGAGATGAGCTCAATGGGTCCAATTAACTTTGTCCTTGGATTAAACATTAGACAGGGACCCGAAGGTATTTTTGTTAATCAGGAGGCATACACCAAGCCTCTATGGACTAAGTTTGGTATGATGGGAGACTCTAAAGTTAAAGTGCCAATGGCCTTTGGGACAAAGCTTACACCCTCACTGGAAAAAGCCAGCTGTAGATATGATGCTCTACCGTCAAATGATCGGTTCTTTAATATATCTCACAGCCAATTGACATGACATCATGTTTTCAGTCTGTTACTATCCAAGATTTCAAGCCAACCCACGCAAACCTGCTCTGCAAGCCGTGAAAACATCTTTCGCTATCTGAAGCGAACCTCCTCTCTCGGTTTGTGGTATCCAGCCAACTCAGGATTCTTTGTTCAGGCATTATCAAATGCTGACTTAGGTGGTTGTGGTTTAGATCGTAAAAGCACAACTGGAGGATCTTAATTTCTAGATGGAAAATTGGTTAGTTGGCAATCCCAGAAACAAACTTGTGTTCTCTCTCCACTGTAGAAGTTGAATACATTGTTGCAGCATCATGCACATCTCAAGTGTTATGGATACAAAGTTAGCTTAGGGATTACGGGCTAAACATGAAGGAAATCCCACTATATTGCGACTTTGAAAGCGCAATTAGGATTTGTCACAACCCAGTGTAACACTCGAAGACCAAGCATATAACATTGAGGTTTCCCTTTATCAAAGATCACGTCGATGATGGCAACGTAGAAATCCATTTCGTCAGAACAACTGATCAACTGGCTGATATATTCACTAAGGCTTTACCTGAAGCAAGCTTCAACAAGATCCTACAAGGCCTAGGAATGATGGAAGCAGAATTAGTGCCCAAATCGCCTTCGGTTCAATAAAGGTTAGAAGCGAAATAGAGCGAACCGAAATGAACCGAACGTTCGGTCTATTTCGGGTTCGGCTCAACCAAGAACCAAAATGAACCGAGCGCTCGGTCTATTTCGGGTTCGCTCCTTCTGAACTCATTCGATTCTTTTTGCTTCCAAGGCATTTTGGCTGTATTCGTCTGTACACTCCTTTTAATTGTATATTTTTCATAAAAACCAAAAATATTTTTCTCTTTCGTTCAATTAAATAACTTTCACAAAATGCAAAAATATTTTTTTACTTTATTTTTATTTTTAATCTAATATTTTTCTTTGTATAAGTGTAATTCTCGATGGTGGAGCTAAAGAAGGTATATTTCTTTTATTTTATCCAATTAGTTAGGCGTCCCTAGAAAGATGCTGCTGTATGTTGACTAAAGCCTCAAAAGATTTTCAGTGAAGCCTTAATGACATGATATATACAAATCATGTTTTCCCAATTCAAGCTGTACTTTTCACTCTAATCATGAGCTACCTTACATTACTCATATTGAGTTCAGAGTTTTCTGCTAGGTCACTTTTTCTTTAGAGCAGAGGTACATTCGCTTCTTATACCATCTCGACAATTTTTCTCCATTATACTTCGTGTCACCAATATAACCCCTGAGACTCTCAGCATTTACCACTGAGGTTTATGGTTATACAAAATATGTGTTAATGATCTTAGTCTCATGACACTATGTACTAAGTGAAACCCACAATTCAACACCACAATTGAATTAACTGTGAATTCTCATATTCAAGAGCTTACTAGTTACCTAATGAAATCTCTTTTTATTTTTTAGTGATCTTTTATAAATTTGTCTAAAACCAAGGCTTTTCTTCCCTTAAAGATCCAGTTTATTTTTTTTTTATTTCTATAATTTCTTTTGTCACTATAAAAGATATCTTACATACTTGTTCAACAGATCACAATGATCTCACAAGTACTTCATTCAGTTTCGGTCTTATGTCAAGTATCGAAATTATGAATTGAAGCGAAAGCCACCATTTATAACCTTCAAAAGATGCCTTTCAATACTTCTTAACAAGTTATTGATCGTTATTTAATGGGAAACCAAACAAGCACTTCAATGTCTCTCTTGAATTTGAAGGAAGTGATTCGTGCCCAGAATCCATTGTTTTATGTCTATATAAGCCATCACAGATTATCCAAGAACATTTTCTTTATTTCTTTATCTTTCACACCCTATGCACGGAATTTTTTAATTTTCCACACTATGGTTCTTTTAAGGTTTTTCAATAAAGCATCATAGGCAATGACGATTCAAATAAATTTTGGAGTGACGATTGGGATAAAGTGGACGCTGACTCACCGGTTATCTAATTGGTTTGGCGATTTGAAAAAGCGAAAATTATGGAATGGGGTGCAAAAAGGAAATGTCCTTTCTCTTTCGTGCGTCATCTTAGGCATGCCAACTGTTCATCTGTCAAGTCGGGCGCTATTTTTTAAATAAACCAAGATCTCAGCCGGATTTTTCTCTCTCCTCTTTGTATGTATAAAAGAAATTGGAATGGTAATCTTTAACCTTTTATCCCTTCCCAAACTCTCTGAAAGAAAAACAATGATTTCTCTTACTATTCATCATCTTCTTCAAGCTTCTATAATGACAGACGCTTTGTTCGTTCATGATACTTCCGTTCGTCAACCAATTCTCACAATCAAACCCCAACAGAACCTAATCATCGATCTCACTCCGTTTGTCTATGAGCCATACACGTTATACGTTGTTGAGTGTCACAAATACTCACCTCTCGTCGAAGCGCTGACCAAAGTTGAAGTTGTACCAATGTCATGCCTTTCTCTTGTCTACTCCACTGCCTACTACAACAAGGTTCATGAAAGGATTCACTTCGAAATTCGCAATGAGAATACCTCTATCTCCAAGCACCGCTTCTGTGACCTAATTGGTCTTTCTCAAGAACAATCTCTGATAAACCCTGAATCCATCACCACTGGTTAATTGTTTTCCATGTTTTATCAGATGGGGTATACTGAAACCCTCACCACAATCACCAAGTTCAAGAAATCCTGCCTTCCTCCTCAATGGAATGGCCTTTTCACGTTGATGTTCAAGGGACTCTTCAAGCGAAGCGCTGGCTCGGATGGTACAAGCAAGTCTTTTATGACTGTGCTATATGGGATGTACCATGGGATAAACTTGGATTTTGGAACTATCATCTGGCAGTAATTGGTACAAAGCTTGGTCTCTTCATCCAGGCACTCTGAGATCTCATGTGGGCAATTTTGGTCAATCATCACCAACTGGACAATGGACCGCCTTCATGTTCCAATCATGACGGACTCTCTTCTCTCGTGTATTGCTACCTTTCACACAGCCAAAATCATTGTCACCGATCCCACCAAGTACTCATTTATTGGATCTATTCTTCAAGCTATGCTCGCTCATATCTCTGCATCGAGTAACATTCTCCAACAATACAGGATGCATCCATCTTCAGGTCCAAGGGAGCTTACCCCAGCCATGGTTCGCTCTATTGAAGAGGCTGACAAACCTATGAAAAGGGGCAAGAAACCTGAAACCCACAAAGAGGCACAAGTTTCCAAACCAACCAATGGGAAAACCCCTAAGAAGCGAAAGTCTGATAGGGCTGTTACATCACCTGCTCAACTGAAGAAGCTGAAGAAGCCTGTTAGGAGGCTTATACTACAATCCTCTAGTGACTCAGATTCAGAGTATGTTCCTCCCCATCATAAGAATGCTCCTCCTTCATAATCTGAGAGCGAAAGCTCTGATGATGAGGCTTCGGGCGGAGGTGATACTCCGCCTCGTTCCCCTACACCAGAAATTCCAGTTCGCTCTCACCCTCCGTCAACTCCACCTGTAACCATCCCAATATCCATCCCTCCAATTTTCCCCATCCCCACTACACAACCTTTCACTTCTATACCCATCTATACTCCCATATTCACAGACACTACCACCACCACTATCACAACAGGGGCTCATTCTACCACCCCCACTCCACCTATTACAACCGAACCACCTGTCACAACTGAACCTACAGCTACTACTAAACCCTTATCTCATACTCCATCCACAAAAACAACCCCTGTTCTGGGCGGTGAGGACTTGGAATTTGATTCCACGTATTTTAGTCCTTACCATGTACAGAGTAACGATGATGATGATGATGATGAGTTTGTTATAAAGCGTCATCTCAAGGAAGTGAACAAAAAACTTGATCAACTGCTTTTATCCTCTTCCTACGGAGGTTACTATGAAGCAGCTCAAAAGGCCTTTTTCTCATATGTTGTTACAGAATGTAGTGCCTCACTCTCTGCTGCAGCTAAAGCAATTGAAACCTCTACTTCACAACGTCAACAAGCCTCACTCGCTGTTGATGCTTCTACTAAGGAGTGCAAGGAAGCGACCGCAAAAGTCGATAAACTAGTTTATGAAGCTCACCTGTTTCTAGATTCCTTGCAGGCTGCTGCTAAGAAGAATGCTCAAACCGTCAACGCTTCAGTGGATAACCTTCAACGGTCTCTTCAATCTGAAAGATCCAACCTTGAAGCTGCACGCCAAGAGATTGTAGCTGCCAACGAGTCTCTACATGCTAATGGTAATGATCGTCTGACTCAACCCAAGGCAGAATTAGCTGTAGAGAATTGTATCATGGATGAGCTAGATAGGAGAACCTCACAGCTGAAAATGCAAAATTACTAGTTGCGTACTGCTACTGCTGAGGTCAATGATCTGAAATCAGAAAGGGATGTCATTCTGAGTTCTGTTGCTGATGTTCACTCTATCCTCATTCATCTCCGTGAACGGCACGATCCAATCATCACCATTACGATCAGATGGCACTTGGCTGATAAACTCAGGCCAACATTGGACATCCTTAGTCGTATTGAGGGTGTTCTGGTGACTGGTGTCCAATCAAAACAAGGGGGAGAAAAGCAAAGTCAACCTCCTCCTGGAATGAAACCATCTACTGAACCAAAGGGTAATGAAGCTTCGGTCAGTAACAAGGAGAAAAAGAAGAAGCAGATTGGAGAGGATGACACAGACAATGAGGATGATGTCTATGCTGAGAATCCCAAAAACCCTTTTCAGAAGATAAAGTCCTCTCAGAAAGAGCTGGAAGAAAAGAACAAGAAACAACAGAATGAGCTCGAGCAAAAGAACAAGGAGACGGAGCTCGTACAAAAGAAGAAGTCCATGTTTCCTGTATGGACAATAGATTCACTTCAAAGGTGTGCTGTTGATGAGCCCATCATACTTTGGCATGAGCTAGTAATGTCATTTGGGCTCCAGAACTCCAAGGATGCATAGTTCGACATGCCAGTCACACGAAAGGCATTTATCTTCCATTGCTTCAATTCGACTGCTGCTATTCCTTCCCCAGACCTGAAGGTAGATAAGGATCTGCTGGAGTTCTACTTGGAGTTTGCTCAACCCCAGTACTTGACCTGGAGTTTGAAGAAGATTACTACTGTTAAGGTTTTGAAACCCTACTCAGCGGGGAAGTTTATTAACGTTCAATTAAAAGTGACTCGAGGCACCGAAGGCTCGGTTCACAACTTCACCCTTACTGATCTACCAAACCTTAACCCCCACGACTGGATACTCCTCAACAATATTCTACTGTCAAATCCACAGGAGTACCAACCAATAATTGACCATGTCAAGCGAATGCTTGTGTGATACATTCATGAGGTAGCGAAGATGGACCAGGAGATTGCCTCTGCCAGTCACAAGCGAACCACGATCAAGCCTATGGGTAGAGCAGGCAATGTCAACTCTATGGTCAAGGGGAAGATTGATACAAAATACCAAATTGTTATGTTCATCAGGGGCGAAGGTCAGAAATTTTTGTTTGCTCTCGTTGACAAAAACCTCTTCACCACTTCTTGCCTGGAGCATATCTTGGAGATCATTCAGAGGTGTGATCAGAACAGTGCAGCTGACAAGAAGTTGTTCACTGATATGCTGAGATTGTATATCCAGTTTCGGCAGACACTTCTTGAAATAATTCCTCGACTGTTCAAAGTAATAAAGACAGTGAAGCCAACACAGAAGAAATAATATGTCGCCTCATTTGATGCAAAGGGGGAGATTTTTGGGATTATTATATAAGCTGCATGCATGTAGTCTTTGTAGTTAACGCTTTTCATAATTTTTCTCTTTGAGTTTTGTAAACCCTAGCTCGTCTCTACATTGGAAGTTCTTCATCGAGCTCTGCTGAAGCGTGACTTTATTGAATCATAAGCACATATTTGATTCTATTCTATGTTAATTCTCTTATTGTATTTGTCTTGTTTGATTTTCTTTTTCATACCTGTGAAAGATCTAATCGATCTAGAGTTTAATTCTCATCATTTCGAACTATGGTTCGATGTCGGGTGGTACCCGATGAAGGAATGCACATTTAGTTATACTCGTTGTCTTTGTGATACTTGTATGTGCCTGGTAGGGAGGTGAGTGTGGGCGGGATCCTGTATCTCATCACTAGCTGAGTGTGGACGGGATTCCATATCTCACTATTAGCTGAGTAGGGGCGGGGCCCATGATAGGCGAGGCCTTAAGACTAGAAGATATAGTGTTGTGTATGATTCTTTATGTACTAGCATGAATACAAGTTATTGTTTGTATGTGTATAGTGGGCAGGGTCCAGAGATAGGTGAGGCCTGGTAGAAACAAATCTATATACCGAGCATGACTCGATGCCAAGTAGGGCCTGATGTGAGACACTGTCCGATGCCGGGAGGGGCCCAAGGAAGTGGCAGGGTCCCATTTTATGTGGTTATGTGTATGGTATGTGGTAGTTTGGGGAGACTCACTAAGCTTCGTTCTTAGAGTTTCAGTGTGGTTTCAGGTACTTCCAGTAGCAAGGGGAAGGGTTCGGGATGATTGAAGTGCACACACCATATGTTCAACCCATGATTTATTATACTATGATGTTGTTGACATATGTTATGATATTTTGAGATATACTACCTATGTTTTATGCGATAATTTTGATTATTACAGTTTTTATTTATAATTTTAAATGAAAATTTTGGATTGTATTTATGGGATGTTTCAGGTTAGTATCAGAGCCTTTGTTTTAGGGATTCAGGCACACTCTTGGGTGTGTCTGAACTTAAACTGAGGACTTGGTATGAAAATTTTCAAAGGAAAACCATTTTTTATAAAAAGAACTTTGAAAAGAGAAAAGAATTTTCAAATGAGAAATGAATTTTAAAAGGAGAAAAAGGTGTGGTGCATGTAATTAGCCGAGCTCAAGTAAATACTCCCAATTTACCCATACAAGTTATGTTATGATATGTTTCTGAGAACTGCATGCTAGATTATGGCTAAGGATCTAGGAAGGATGCCTTATGAGCGTGTTATATGTGTATGAGCTTGTAGATTTGCATGCTAGAATTGATAATCTAGTGGTAGGATAGCATGTTTATGTTATGCTTGATTATATGAACCATTGAATTTCATGCTAGTACAAATTCTTGATTAGAGGACAAAATGGTTTGATTGTATTATGTTGGTTAGATTTTCCAATGTATGAATGTTGCTTGCTTTGTGCTTTGTGGGACTCCTGGCGATACAAGTTAGCTACTAAGTGAGTATGCTAAGTCACACAGGGCACAGACTGGATAATTTCAGAGTGATGGATTTAACCCTATTGTGCATCTCTCGTTTAAGTCCAATCGTTCTAGGGATAAGTATTTTACTCAAAGTATTATTTGATCTTTGTGGTATGTGGCTATATTCATGAGGTAGCTAGCTGGCATTGATGGGAAATCCTTTAGCAGCTGAGGACTGGGTGGGGCGGAGATTACCTTAGGGCAAGCCTAGGATGGGATTAGTGTTGTGACAACCCAAAATTTCTATCTTGTACAACCACCCAATTCAATCAAAGTCAAACTTGTTACTGCTATCTTTTAGCACTGTTTAGAGTCTATTTGAGTGTTCTAAGTATAGTACATTCAAGAATCGGGTGTTGGGAGGTATATGTTTGATCCACCAGTGTACTAATCAAGTCTTTACTCCATCATTTGGAGTTTACGGCCACCCCAACATGAGGTTACAGCCTTAAACTCATGTCGGCTGTAAACTCATGGCTATATATTAGATTCTTGGCCATTTTCAACTCTTTTATCACTTTCAACTCTAGAACTTAGCTTCTCTCTCAAACTATCATCCGATTTCCATCTAGATCTTCAAGATTGTAAGTATTCCTTCCATTTGATTTATTGATACAATACTTTATCTATTATGGATCATTGATTTCATCCATGAGATCACTTCATTTTGATAGATCTTCAAGTGTTCTTCATTTCACCAAGAACACCTAGAACACACATTAGTGTTCTTCGACCTTAATCACCCTATCAAGCTTCTATATCATAAGTACTCTTTCCTTAGCTTGATATATACTTGAACCACATGATAAACGCCTAGAAAACATCAAGAATTCAAGAACGAAAGGTGTTTACAGCCAAGACAATCTACCTTGGCCGTAAACCCTAATTGTTGGTGCATAAGGACCATAACTTCTTCTTAAGGATTAGACATGAGACTAGAACACTACTTGGAAGACCATTAGACCTTAACACACAGATTGGTACAAAATACCATGAGTTTACGGCCGTAAACTCATTGGGCCGTAAAGTTATGGGGGTATTACCATTTGGGTCGTAAACTCCTATGTGAGGCCCTACACCCCTTATATGCAACCGTATGTGGTTTAACACTTCATAACAAGTGTTTCCTAGTCCCTAAGGTTGTTCCAATTCAAAATTAGTTGTTATAAATAGTAATTAGATGCATATATGTATCATTATATTATAAATAGGATCCGTGTTTGTGCTCGAGTCTTCACTTGACACTTAGCATCCTATACTACTCGTTCATCCAAACCACTCACTACAGGTGAGTTCATACCCCTTAATCTACCTTTTAAATCATTTTAAATGATTTTATGGGGGGGGGGGGGGGGAATACAACTTGAAACATTCTAGTTGTTATATCAATCACATGTGATTAATAACTAGAACAAACATATAGATTTTTTATTACTTTCAAACTGCTATCAAACACATGGATTTCAAATACTTCAAAATGTTTAATCCAATTCTTTTATATACTAAACTCTTTATCAAACTTATATATTGTCAAAACCATGTCTGATGCATATATATTTATATAAGTAAGGTTGGAAGGACTTAGGACTGATACCTCACTTTATTTCCCGTTCCTTGTTTGGTTGTGGACTTAGAGTACCCTGTTGTTTGTTCGAGTTTCGTTTGATCCTTGTTATATATTATGTATATATGTATAGATATAAAAGCTTTTATCTAATTTCATGAAAGGTTAAGTCTGTGGTTTGGTCTAGGATTTCTATTGTATAAGGTCCATTGACTCATTTTTATGTATTTTGGGGGGTGTTTGGGAGTTTATGACCAGGGTTGGTGTTTACGACCGTAAAAAGGTTTATGACCGTAAGCCCTATTTGCGGCTAGTGTCTTCTATATATAGGGCTTGTCTAGGTCATTTGTGGTTGTTGTTCGTTTAGTGTTAACGGCCAAGAGTATTCGAGTTGTACCAGACGTTTTGATATATAAACGTGTGCAAGCTTGATTTTATTTTTCTTCTACTCCAATTCTTGTTATATTGATTGATTGCTTGCTTGATCATTGGTTAAGATTCGTTTTCAGGACCTT